ATGAGTCACTCGCGAGTTTGTAGACAGCCCCACTCGGGAGATCTAGGTCAGTCTGAGAGAGGAAGCAGGCCTGTCTCTAATTCGGCAAGTGGGTGTCTAATCTGCGCTTGGCGTGTGGATGGAGGGGGTCTGTCAGCTTTCAGGTCCGAGTCTCGGGTTTCTGCCCCTCCCAAGAATGAGACCTTGGGGCATTCGCTTAACCTTGAGCTACAGCCGCTCATCTGCACACCAGGCTGGCCTGGCCCACAGGGAGTGCTCAGTGTGTCTGTCCTGATTGTTGCTGGTGGCCACCCGAGCCGTCCCTGGTGAGGGGGTCTTGGCGGAGCAGATCTGAGCATCATTTTCCTGGGAAAGCAGGGCAGGGAAGGGATTGTCTTGACCGGTGGACTCCACTCCAGATCCAAGTCGCAGGCTACTGCCATGGGCTCCAGCCTCCAGTCCCAGGGCGAAGGGGCGGGGTAGGCCAAGGAGGGCCTTCTGATTTCTCAAAGGTCTCTCCAGAAGTACACAAATGAGTCTCCTGGTATACTGGGTTGAACGGTATTCCCCCCGCCCCCCACATTCATGCCCAGCCAGAACATAAGGATGCAACCTTGTCTGGAAGTAGGGTCTTTGCAGATACAATTACTTATGGATCTTGTCATGAAATCATTCTGGACTCAGGTGGGTCCCAAATCTGACTAGTGTCCTTACAAGAAGAGGAGGCCACAGACACACATGGAGAAGGCCAGGTGAAGACAGAGACTGCGGCCATGTGGCCATGAGCACCTGGAGCCCCCAGAGGCTGGAGGCGGCAGGAAGGACCCTCCCCTAGGGCCTCTGGAGGAAGTGAACCCTGTCCACACCTTGACTGTGGACTTCTGGCTTCTAGAACTGTGAGAGAATAAAATCCTGTTGCTTAAGCGTGCGAGTTTGTGATGCTTTGTTGTGGCGCCCTAGGACACGCACACACCTCTGTTTATGGAGCAGCTACGTGCTCATGAGTTCCTCTTGGGATGTGGATCCATTTTGGCCAGACACATCCCTTGAGTCTGCAAGGAGGAACGATGCCAGCTGGGTGGGTGGAGTCACCCAGGAAATGGAACTCGGGAAGAGCCCTAGGCCACCAGCTGCCATCTAGCTGCATTTAAAAAAAAGTTGTTTTATGAGGAAGAATTTCAGGCAGTCGACAAAAGCATAGGTAACATAAACACTGCCAGAGCAACACCGAAACCAGTGACTCTTGGTTATGTTTATTATGTTTTAGTGAGCGTGTGTGATGCTCCATTTTATTGAAAAAGACGATATACCGCTTAATAAATTTAGAATGTCCACAAAGCTGCTGGCCTGGGAAGCTGCGTTTCTGTGCACAGCCTCGCACGTGTGCAGCACACAGGCAGTGAGGATGTGCTGTTTTGGGGTTCTGCCATGCTCACAGCAGACATTTTCCCACGTTTAAACATGGTGCTCACAGTTTACACTTGTTTTAATTCCCTTTTTTTTTCTTAGGCTAGGTGGAATTTTTCCTTCAAACTGTAGGTCCTAACAGCTTGTGGCAACAAGTAAAATCATATAGAGATATTCAAAGAAAATTTAGCCTCAAGTCCTCAGGGTGACCAAAGCTAACAGGGTGGCAGTGTGCCCCTCCCCCACGTACACATCACGAGGGAGGAGCTCTGCAGCTTCCTCATCCTCCAGGTCATGGTGGGGCCAGTGCTCTTGCCAGCACAGACCAGCATGACGGCCTCAGCCTTCTGTTGCTCCCACCTCCCCCTGGTCCTTCTAGTGCACAAGACCCTTCTGCAAGGGAAATTTGGTTGGGTGGGCACAGACCTTTAATCTGGCCATAGCTGCTGGGCTGGAGATGCTCCAGAAGACTTTGGGGGTGATGTCAACAAAGGCATGAGCGTAGGGGGTGGCTCCTGGCAGGGCCTTTGAACACAGGAGCCACCACTCTGGGGACGGCACCACTAACTTTTATCAAAGATCTCATTAGTGTAGCCACAGTGGACTTGAAGGGTGGGGGCGTGAGCATGGGAACCCCCAAAGCTACGTGGGCTTTTGGGACCTGGGAGTCTCTTCGATGTGACATCCTGCGTTCTTCTGCCTTGTAGCACAGCTGCCTGTTTCCTTCTGCCTTGACTCCAACCTGAAGGGTTTGAGGGGACAGGCTGTGCTGCACACCTGGTGTTTCTCACTACACCAGTTGCACACGGGGCTGAGGCCGGCCTGCCTATGGTCTGGTTTGACCTACTTTAAAATATTCTAATTAAGGCCAGGCACAGTGGCTCACGCATGTAATCCTAGTACTCTGGGAAGCTGAGGCGGGAGGATTGCCTGAGGCCAGGAGTTCAAGACCTGCCTGACCCCATTGCTACAAAAAAATAGAAATATTAGCCTGGCATAGAGGTGTGTGCCTGTAGTCCTAGCTACTAGAAAGGCTGAAGCAGGAGGATCCCTTGCGTTCAGCAGTTTGAGGCTGCGGTGAGCTATGTGATGCCACTGCACTCTAGCCCGGGCCACAGAGCAAGACTGTCTCAAAAAAAAATCCTAATTATTTGCCGACATTTAAAAATTCTGAGATCTTACTCCAAATTTCTGCACTTTTTGGAAAACTCAGACCAGCCTCCCACTCTGAGCTCTGGGGTGCCCACTGGAGTGCCCGGGTTCCCCCATGTGCTCACACACTTCCCCACCCCGCTGCTTCTTCGTACCCAGCTCGGCCTAGTCGCCTCCTTTCCTGCCTTCTGGGGGCTAAAGCCCAAGTACAAAATTCCGGTTGTACATTTATAGGATTTCCCCCAAACACTCTTCCCCTAGGGAAGGCACCTTTCCGGCTCCAGTCTGCGCTGCTCCTTGGCTGCTGCTGCTGTCACAGTGCTGTCTCCAGCTGCCGTGTCCCTCGCTCTGAGGTCGCAATGGGACGGGCCCAGCAGGACTCGGCCTTTGCGAGCCCGGCGGTTGCTTTGCTGCAGCCATTGAAGCAGCTCCTCGCTACCGCAACAGCCTGTGCTGAGAGCCACCGCGTCCTCAGCAGGGACGACCCCGTGGTCTCACGCCGCCGGGGGGGTCCGAGGCAAGCATTTCTCTCTGCAAACCGTTTCTGGGCTTTTACGAAAAACTGGGAGAAAAGAAAACCACTAGAAGTGTCCAATAACGCTACGTTTGGTAAAAAACAAAGAACCGCCCGGAAAGAGGGGGCTGGGACTTTAACTGAAATACTCCTATCGCTAAGGTGCTGGTAAACATTGCTACGGATAATTTCCTGCCACCAACCTCCAACAAATTAAATTAAGAGCAGAAAACTACTTCAGGCGTTCCGGCTTTGCACTCGGGGACCCATTTCGCGCCCGGGGAGCACCGTCCTCTTCCCCGGCCGCGCGTGGGGCGCCCCAGTCGGGAGCAGCCGCTGAGGGGACGGCCGCGCGGCCCACGGACCCAAAGATGGACGGCGAGCTCGCGGGCGGCCTCCACTGCGGGGCGAGGCGGCCGAGGGCCCGGCCCTC